GAGAGTATTTGAAAACCTCTCTAGCTACTTAACCAAGAGTTTCCCGGGTTGATAGCTTTTTTCATTAAAAATATTTTCCACAACAGTCATTCAGCCCACAACCCAACCCAAGGTCGAAATCCTGAAATCCTTGCATTATATTATATGACTTTTAAACCTTACCAAACGAAATAAATTCCTCATTGGAACTTATTCGAGTCTAATGTTGTCTCTAAGTAGTTCTCCTGGGGTATACTGGGGTATACTGGGGTATAGAGGTACCCCTGAGACACTCCGGGAATATCCCCATAAAGGTTGAATCTTTTAAATGGAGCAAGTTTTGAATTTAATTCCTCTAACAGTCTGATAAGTTGAGGAAGTCAAAAGAAACCACCAGTGAACAAGACATGCCACCTTTTCATGTTGTTTACATTACACCAGCCTTACTTTATCAGTTTCCTCTCTTAAAGTGATGATCGCTTGATTCCTGTCAACTTCAAGGCATAACTCACTAACGTCATACATTTCGTGAAAATATCTTAAACCTCACGCGGTTTACCCTCAAGGCGATAGCAACCACACTCTAGAAGTCGTTATCAAAGCCAGGCCCGGATTTTGATCATCGATAACCCAGATAAAAACCCAAGTGTAAATATATTTCAGAAATTAACTTTTTAAGGTCTTTGTCGAAAGAACTGTCACCTAACGACAGACGTCAGCCTTATCAGTAATATTGTACTCAACGTGCGAACGAATAAAAAAAAATTCACGTACACCTTTGTTTAAGATCGGATAAAAAGACTTGTTACCTTCACCAGCATATATCTCCTTATAATCACTCATAAACGCGCATTGACAAATTTTTATCTTTCAATTCATTTAGCAAGTATGCAATTTCACTGAGCCAGTGCTTTTGGCTTTCTGTTCAAGCTGCACAAAAATTATTCGCCAAACCAGTAGAAAACAATAATTTGTTAATGTGATGATAGCACAATGAAGAAAGAGTATTGTAATTCAAGGAGAAACGAGAATTCATACGAGAAGCCAGATATTTCTACACAACTTACTATATATTAGATAACACACAACCCTTATCAAGCACACAAGAAAGATGTGAAATTAATTAAATATCAGAAACAACGAAATATACCAGCTTTGTTTTTCAAATTTGGGCGTTCTCTATGTGGCGCAAGAAAACGTTTTTGTTAAATGAGACAAAAGCCACCCTGACATAACGTTTTTTCCAGAAAGATCGGGAAATAAATGATGTCTCGTTTAAAATATAACCTGATGGACGACATTCCAGTCGAAGCTAATTTAATTTGAACACTGTGTACTTAAATTATTTACTTCATCCAATAAATATGATCTGCTTTCGAAACCAACAGTTATTCCGCATGACATCACAATTTCTACTTCAAAAAAACTCCCTATAAAATATGTTTTCTTATCAAGAGAAAATATTGGGTAACTGCTCTCGTTTCTTATGTAATACTTGTCATGACTTAAAAATCAGCTTTTTTTTGTTTCTTATCGCTGACACTGAATACGTATTTGAGTGGAGTTGACCGAATTTATGTCGGAGTACACGCAGAAATATCGTGTTTTGTGTAGAACCACAGTGAAATATTAGAAGTTACATCTTTCCTCACGTTGAAAACACAGGGCAACGCTAAAAAGACAAAGGCTTATGATGATGATAAAACCATAAACACAGGGTCTCCATGGTAACTAAACCTACGAAATCAATTTACAAGCGGAATTTTAATAACACAAATTTCACTCAAACACGAAACACGGACATCATACTTTGAACGGCAACAAAGAATTTATATGAAACATAAAGGAACGAATTTTCAATCATTTTATACATAGACTCGCCCAAGACAAAATATAAAATTTGAATAATTCGACCCCCCCTACAAATCCGACTCGATATCAGAGGATGAACGGCGAAAAAAAGTCGAATAAGATTGTAAATTCGATTAAAATATTTCGCCGATGAGTTTCACCCGAAACTGGAACACCGGCGTCACATTATGAGGAACACTTAGGCAACTCAAATCTCTCTGTTATAGTTAAAATATATGCTACTGTGAACTACGTCAAATCGCCTAAAATTCTAAAAACTAGTAGTCTTGCTTAAAGCCGACTGCTAAGCCGCGGATTCGCTCAAGAGTCTTGTTCAAACGCAAACTTTTGTTTTGTAAGCCATCTTCAACACAACAAGCATGCAACAATAAACTTGACCGAAAATCGCCATAGACGAAAGTGACGACATGAAGATAGATATTTGCGCCTTGATTAGCCACGAGCGGGTAACGCTGAATAAAACAGGGAAATAATTACTGTTGTCAGTATTGTTACAAGGAAAGCCCAAACAAATAGCGCAGTGTGATCTATATGAAAATAGGCCCGCAGCTACAAAGCGTTGACGAAAACCATTCCCTGCACCGGATGTACGAAGAGAAACAAACTTTAGAAAATGGGACAGAAATCCGTAGAAATGTAAAAAAGCCCTGCACTCATCAAGGCACCTAAATTTCAACAGCTGCCAGAATAAATGTCGATATTTGTGGGTCCACTTATTGTCACCTTCCTTAGCGACCGAAACTTTCAATACTAAATCTACCGCTCTCATTCACATCAAGTTATTCTCTGGGAACTATAAACTAAAGCCCTCAGCAAACTCGTAGACATTACAGAAACCAAAAATTTAGAAACGGAAGTTACTTACCTCGCATTCTGGCTCCTCTATTTGATGTTCTGCTTGATGTACTGTCGTTTCTGCTGTCGTGTTATCTACCGCGATAGCCGTTGCTGCCCGCAAAATGCCGGCAGCCCCGACCACTATCGAAGAACCTTTAACTTTTGACGGGACGGCTCCGTTTTCATCACCGTGAAGTTCTCTTGAAAGACTTGTCCCATCTTTGTCATATCCTTGTTCTGTGACATCGATGGATGGCTGCCCAAAAAGACGACTCGCTGGTGCCTGTTCGAAACCTGTGTTTGACTCGCTGCCGTCTGATCGTCCATGTAAAGATTTTAGTGATATTGCAGGGTATAGAGAAGGCAGTCTTACTCGTCCATTAGGCACATTTGATGCTCTTGTCCGCGAAGTGTTCCCCTGAGCTCTCGCAACGGCTGCGCTAGATATTACAGGCGCGAACTTGACCATCCTACCAGTCAGTCAGTGTTTCATTACTTCAAGTTCATAACTGAGAATTTTCACTCAAGTAAGAGTAGGTCTCCCAGACAAGTTGACAAACGGAAAAAACATAAGTCATCAAGCAGCCTCGAAAACTCTTTAAAGTTGTTCCTCCAATTGATTCCTTCATAAACATCACGACCCGCGCGCCATGCATACAGTGCTAAACAATCATTTGCTGCGTAAAATTCACAGTAACCCAACTAATTCATGTTCAATTATTAAAGCCTTAAGTCCAGCAGGCAAAGCTTGAGAGGAACTGATGGACGTGGAGTGCTGTACGGAAGTCCTCGTTGAAAGATTCCGTTTCATGCAGTTATCACAAGGTCGATGTTGTGATGTAAAATCGTTAGCGGAATTTCAGCAAGTTGCTCTCGTGTTTAATGTCTTCGTAGCCGCTCTGACAACTCAGTCAGTTAGGCAGGTGGCTTTGGAGAAAAACTAAATTTATGTAAATGAAAACAGAACATTAACGGCTTTACTTCACAATAAGTGTCATCCATCCCGCTGCTATCGGATCTTACGTGATGGCCAAAATTGAATTTTCACGATGACAATCTCAAACGACCCTCTCTGGAACCAGACAAAAATCTTAAAGATCTGTTTCAACCGGGAAACAATTTTTTTAGTTCTCTAGGACTTTGAAGACTCCTCAGTCTAGCCTCTAATAAAACTCACTGGATAATCAAAGGATTTGCTAAGCTGGGCGACAAAAATATTCGCCACAATCGAATTTACAAAAAATCTGCCTTCCTCTAATCGATAGCAGTTGACTCTTCACCAATCAAAGCGCGTCGTAATGTGAAACAATATTAAACTCTGACCAAAGGAACTTGCGATTTATTGCCCAGAACACGTTCAACTCGCGTATTAATCGATTCGTTGAAAATCCTGCGGTACGAAAAGAGCTGCTAATTTCTCTACATGCGGTCTATAAATTTCGCTAACTTTTTCACTTCTAATCGAAAACAATTATGATCCCTTCACTGGGAAAGAGAAATTGAAAGTAAAACTCCTAGTCTCGAATAATGAAGATGGATAAAGGACTTCAGGTTTACATAAATATCAGATAAGAAACGAAAACGTCAATTCGGTAAAAGGCTGGATTGCATCGATCAGATCTTAGAATGTTGTAACTAATAGTTGGTCGGATGGTTTCCTATACAAATACGATTTCAAAATTTAATGCTTCCAATTAAATATTTTTTCGATGCGCAAATCAAAAACTGATGCAAACGATGTGCTGATTATTTCACTAATACACAATTCCGATTCAGTGTTTTTCCGTTTTTCGATGTTTTCGCGTGGCTCACATTATAAATAGACAAAATAAAGGTCTGTTTTGACTACAGAAGGTTTTATTCCAACTAATCATGAAAAGTTCAATTTCAGATTTTTCCGAAAGTCACTGAGCTAACAGCACGTTGAGATTAATATGGAAATCCTACAGATCATGACCAGCTTGCGGAAAGAACATCGAAAAAAAAACTTCTTATATAACGTAAATTCAGAGAAAATCAGAAAGGAATAACATTGACAATGTCTGCTCATTAGTGGTGAAAAGGAACAATGCTGAAAAATTTACTATGAAACACAAAAAGATCAGAAGCGTCTGTAAGGTAAACAAGTTCGAAACAAAAGGTGTTAATCACTAAACAGCGCTGACGAAAATAGATAGATATTGAAAAACGTACAAAGAAAAAGCGACGACTGTCATAAAATCAATTAAGCAAGGCACCCCTGAGATCACTCCCAAAAGCGGAAACGTTTATCGAGTTCGATTAAAGTTTTGTTTACTGTCTCAAAATGATTGGGAACCTAGAGTGAAAAATATATAGATTTCCGCAATAATATTTGCTCTTTCTCCCAGCAGACATTCCTGAAGTTGATAAAATCATGTGTTTATTCCAGGAAAATCTGAACATTTCACCGCATCGGTTTGGTAGCAAGATTCGTGCTAAGAAACCGTGAGGTTTTCAGGCGATCAGAACTTAGGGGAAAATTCCTGGAAAATGACAATGATTTTAAAAAAGATAGTCAGCATGAATAAATGAAACGGATTTTAGAAGGATTAGACGAAGCTGATTATACTGGACAATAATCTTATTTGCTAATATGTTTCGTGTTCGTTAAGTCGCCTTTTCGTTCACAAATTGAATTAAGTCATGTTATTGGATTGCGAGGAGAAAAACTCTAATCAGTCATTTAAAAATACGGCACTAAATTAAAACATTGTTTGCACGTATTCAAATCAAATTTTAATGACAGAAATTTTGGCAAAGTTTTGAACGACATCTGGAAATGAGGAACGGAAAATGTCAAGGGTATTTACGATTTAAACACGACTCCAACTTAAGCTAATCTATCGAGCAATTTTTGTTCTAACCCTGGGCAAAAAAACCAACAACAACAACAACGAAACAATGCAAAGAAAGAACGTGTTTGTGAATACATTACCTTTAAAGAACTTGCCGGCAAGTCTTTCCTTTACACAAAAACTGGCTGGTAGTTGTTTTTTCTTTATGTGGTAAACATCCCCAAAGTCGTGTTTCGTTCTAGATGGAAGAAGTTGCTGATTCGTTCATTCCAAGAACCGATAGATGTAAATGACCTGATTTTGGTCGCGAGAATGGAGAAAGAAGGAAAATGACTTGAATAAAAATATCATTTGGAAGTAATCAGTTAAAAGATTGATTATCATGTTTAACTTCCTAGATATGACTTCAATTGATCAATAACCGAAGGCGTAGCAGAATAGTTTCGTAGAATAAAGGCACTGTGTAATTGTTGGAAAAATTTTTAATGATCAGCTGTAATAAACATAAGTACCTCGCCCTGGGTCAAGGTGAAAGGGTTGTTTTTCTTTTTTCCTTCTATACGATAAAGGGTCGATCAAGGGGCCGTAGTCCCCAGGCTCTCTCGGTTCCATTAGAGCTGGACCATACGGTTACTCTGAGAGCCATGTTGTCACCAAGACGCCGCCGATGCGGGCACGTGCTGTTACCCACCCTTTCTTGGGCCTGGGTGCGGCATTTAATGAGTTAAGGAAAATTTTCATAATTCTTGCAATGTGCAATGCGCAGTTCTATACTTCCCCACCAAAGGAGACACTGCAAAGCACAGATCCATTTTTCTGCAAAAGCATGATAGTAAATACCATCTTTGATACTTTTCTGTTTTGCCGTCAATATTTCTTTTCATCACTTTGGACAAAAGGTGTATTACAGTGAGCTCCGCTATCAGCTAAGCACTGCCCCAGTTTAGCGTCGCATTTGAATCGCCGCGGCACATAATCCTTACTGAGTAAGAACATTTAAGTGTTTCGCTCTTCTTAGCTTTGGGATTATATTTGATATTCATCTAGATCTTTCCCTGATGCTTTTTCCTGATGTTCCACGCTGAACATGTCGAAATGATCGTCAACTTTCGTACGTCTTTGTGTGCCTTCCTCACAGAGTTCCGCACTGTGCGCTTTTTTTCGCTTAATCAGTTTTGACTCTCGCGACGGACTTTGCCGAAAAGGAGAGACTGTATGTAATCTACACTGATGTTGTCCCTTCCCTTTGCACAGAGCGCAGAATATAATCTGTGAACCGTGCTTAAATAATGAGTACGTCACGGGAAAGCGGCGAGCTTAAAAAATCCTGACGCTTCTTAAAGAAATCAAAAATGATTTAATCAAATATAATAGTGAATAACATAAAGCTTGCCTGAAGGCAAGGAGTGTATACGGTGTTAAAACCACAGATTACCTCAAAGTGTTCGATTAATTTTTTTCCTTCTCGAATGTTTCGTGGATTTGAATCCAAAATGTCTTTTTAGTTTAATAATTTGAGCTATCAGGTTAAGAGGACCGAAACGAATTCGAATTTGTTACAACCTAACTTGCACTTTTATCAAAGCATTTAATTGGATAAAAAAGAATAACCAATCAAATACCTTGTTAGAATACTACTGTCGGCTATCTAGCACGCCTGGTTGATTTTGTAGGTAAAGTATAACATCAGCTCATTTTCATCTGATTTTAATCATTGATATTTGTCCTTGTGGACGTCTTGTGATATTTTCCTGAAATCATTGATGGATCACGTAAATAATGATGGGACAGACAAAGTTAAGGTTAGAAAGTTAAGATTGATTTCTGATTCCTCTCGCCAAGCCATGCGTTCGGGAGAAATGGAAACGATTGCTCAACTTACGATTCAGTATCGCAAAAATTATTCCCATGGCAGACATAGCATTTGTCCTAGGAGACGTAATCATTCATGCCATTTTAGACGTACAAAGTCAACACTTTTGTAATCGATAGTTATATTTTACAAGAGGTGGTTTTTCTCGCGGTAAAGTCAATCGCGGCGACAAAGTAAAATCGAGCATCCAGGAGATCGTATCGCCTCCAAGGTGTTAAAAAGTGTGCGATCGGCGAGGAAGCATGCGATTCGTTCAGATTAACTTTACTAATTAACCTAATCTTAAAGTAAAAACCGAATATAATCCTTTCGTCTAAAACTCCGCATTTACTTATTTGTCGCAACAATCGACAGCACGTTCTTTCCGAGGTTGGTTTATTTTTGCAAGTGATCGCGACTCGACTTAAGTACCTATGCGTTATTGTGACCGCGTTCGTTCAGATTATTTTGTTTACATTTAGCATATTTACATAAGTCGAAGAGCTTATTTTGAAAGATGCAAAAGTTTTGCTATTGTTCTTTTCCACTCAATAGGTAACTGTTTTGTTCTTTGCTAAAAGCCGTGAATTAGTGGAACAGCGTTCGGCACAAATATTTATTGGGAAGAGACTCTTTGGGAGAGATCTGATAGCTGGTATCCTCAACAATTTTCCGAGGTAAGGCGAATCTTATGGGTCAATGATCTTTGTGGAATCAGTGTTTTGTTCATTAAGGTTCAAAAGATTCCGTGTACTCTATCAGAGTTTTCTTTTACAGGATACCCAAAACATCTTGTACTTTGGTAGAACACTCCCTTCACCACGTTACATATTTCGTTTTAATCGATTTGCGTTACCTTTTGTTGAGTATAAACTCATCAATCGAACGCTCATTTTGTTTTTAGTCTTTCAGTTATTCAGGAAAACCTTGTGATCGCCGTGAATCAAAATTACATCGAAAAGGAGTCAGAAATTATTCTTAACGGAGGCGAAGAAGTCGCAGTTATCCCACCGATTAGTGGTGGCTGAAATGAAAGAAGAAAGGTATTTATTAAAATAGGTTCTAAAATTATGAGGTGGAACTAAGGGAATATGGGACTTATTTGTAAAAAGGGGCTAAAAGGGGTCCCAGGTAATTAAAGTATTCAGTCAGCCACAGCAGTTACCAAATACACACTCAATAAAAATAACATTTTGATATATGGCAAAAAATTTTCCAAAAATAAATTCTCAGATTTTTGTC